GGTAAATTATACACCGTGAAAAGATGAAAAAACTTTCTGAAGTTTCGGACGCTAGTCCTTCGTCGGAGTAAAAGAGAAAGAAGTGGTAGAAAGGAGCGTATATAGAGTTTGCTTTAGGGAGCTGAAATAAACGCACGTCATATAAACTCTCTCACTGCCCAGGGAAACGCATTCTCGGGGATCCAGGGGTAAAATTAACTGTCGCTCGTTTCTCGCTACAAGAAAAAAATGGCAAGAAACGTGCGACAGAATTGCGAGCGACGGGAATGGAATTTTAATGCATTTAGGATAGAAATTGTGTTTCCTATTTGAAATCTTAAACACTCGTTTAAATTTGTTTAGGGCGCTGAAATAAACGCCCGTGATATAAACAACTCAACTCCTTTGATGGCTGCCGCCAAAACTGGTGCCACTGAGACTGTCCAGCTGTTGATGGTCAAAGGAGCCGATCCAACGGTTAAAGATGTGGACGGAAAGACAGCAGTATTCAACGGCATTGGCCATAGTAAAATAACAGAAATTTTATTACAGGTACGAAATCTCGTACCCAGAGCCTGCGTTTCTTATGGCCTGCAGGAGAAGAACGAGGACTCTAGCATTGTCTATTTTTTGAGACCAGGATTTCTTGGATTTTCGGTATAAGAGCGCATATGTTAAGACTTGCAAAAAATATATAATGTACCTGATTTCCAATTTTTATTTTGATCGGAAATCGAAAAAAACTCTGTTTGAAAGCATGATTTTCAATGATTAAATGATTATGTGCCAAAAAATGGATTATGCCAGAGCCCTTGTTCTTCACCGCAGGCCAGAAGAAACGCAGGCTCTGGGTACGAGATTGGCAGGTACGTTATCACAATGCGCATGCGCCAAGTCGTCATCGGGACAAAGTTATTTTTTTGTAGACCAGAATCGAAACGTTTCCATGACAATCTATAGTCATCTGTGCCCTTGAAAATAACTTTGTGTTTGTCATGGAAACACTAGTTCCATTGAAGTCCACCAAACTCTGTATTTTTTCGGAACGACAAATTGAACAATTCCAGCTAGTGCTTTTAAAAAGCACTGTTAAAAGATTTGCCAGATTTCTTATTGGTTAATTTTCGTTTCTTCGGGGGTTAAATTTTGCGAGGAGYCGCAAAAAGTTTGACTAATTTTTCATTTTTYCCTATTTTGTTGGGCTACCTGTGGATTTGGCAGAAAAATTCCCCCCATAAAGCGTGTACTGGATTTTCCAACGTCGTGATGGCTCAGTGCTGGTCTGTAAATTAGTTTTGAAATGACTAAAAGAGRCAACCTCTTTCTTTTAGGACCCTGTGTTGGCTCCTTTGCTGACAGAGAAAGATAATTCAGGGCACACAGTAGCTCATTATGCAGCCATGAAAAATGATGTTAAGGTGAGCTAAAAACCAAGAATATTAGTGAGCTTCTGCTCTTGGGGCTACCAAGGAATATATTTGTCTAAATAAGAAAAGTAGGAAAGAAAAGTAGGAAAGAAAAAAAAAAAAAAAAAAAAAAAAAAAAAAAGAAAAAAAAAAAAAAAAAAAAAAAAAGAAAGAAAGAAAAAGAATATTCTACTATGTTCCTTTCGTGGACTACGCGAGGTGAAACGCGCAGCTCAGCGAGGCTGAATAGCTGTAGCTTCTCAATATTGAGCTAATTTTCACTAAATGTTTAACCTCCCTAATTCAGAAATGGCTATGCTTTCAAGTTTACTTGGACTACGAATTAGAGAGGCAAAGATTTTCGGTTATTACACAGGATATTTCTGAATGCTTGAACTGATTGGTTTGGTGCTGTTTTTCAGAGCATGGCGTTGTTCTTGAAACATAACAAAGCAGTGGCGAGTGTTACTTCAGACTCACTGGACACACCCCTACATGTGGCTGCACAGTAAGTTGAAGCAGGCAGGCAGGCAGGCAGGCAGGCAGGCAGGCAGGCAGGCAGGCAGGCAGGCAGGCATTAGCAGTTTGTTGACGTAATTTGTTGTTCTCTCGACCAAAAATCAGAAAGCAAAACATTTTTGATTAAAAAAAAAAAAATCTATTTTGTACTTCAATTTTCTCATAGATATGGTAATCATGAAGTTATCCGTGTGTTGATTGAGAAACAAGCAGGAAAGCTGATCAACGCACAGAATAACCGCTCTAGAACAGCGCTTCACTTAGCATGCCGTGGGGGACACTACAGGGCAGCCATGTTGCTATTGCAAAATTCTGCAGGCGTCGAAAAGTGAGTAGATATGATTAAAACATCAATCCTTCAAACTTTAATTATCGATACCCTGAAAAACTTTCTGCGCTGATCTAAGTCAGGGCACGGCTGACTCACAGATTAAACCCTGGAACGACCTATTGGCTGTTCTAAGTCAGGGCAAGGCTAACTCAAATATTAAATTGGAATTTAGGTTGTTGCGTTTTGCGGAGGGAGGAAAACCAAAGAAAAAACCCCTCGAATCCCTATGCTAGGCCATATATAAAACTATTCCCGAGACCCAAGAGGATAAAGACGAGTGTACTGTTACGCTACCTTCAATTCAATCAGTTAACAGTCGCGCGATGCGCCAAAAGAACATCGATAGCAACTATTTTCAATACCTGTCTGCGCTCTGGATGAAACACTTAACTCATGCTGTTTTCAATGTTAGAGATCAAAGTGGAAGAACACCTCTACACGAAGCGGCCAAAAATGGCGCCAAAAAAGTGGTTGAGATGATCGTAGAAAAGCACATTCACTGCTTGAACTACGTTGACGAGGATAAGGTATTGGAATTATTTTGAACCAATCACAGCGCGAGTGTTTGCTGATCATCCAATCAGATTGATTTTACACTGTCATGGCACGGCACATCTGTACCRATAGTTTGTCATAGTCATATGAAATCCAACTCGACCCAGATTTTTCCTCAACCTCGGAAAGATTCATCATAAATAAAACATTTTAAATATTTGGCGTGAATTTGGGGCCAGACATTTCTCATGCATTTTTCATGCCTCAAAAAAAAAAAGACAAGCATGACAGATATGACGCATGGAACAAATAAAAGGGGCCTCCTATAAATCGTCTTACTTGGATAGATATACAAAAATCTGCGGACAWTTTTTCTTCTTTTTTATCTTTGCTCACTCTTCCACTCAAAAAGCATCATCACTGTATAATTTGGGTGCACGTGACGTCATTTGTTTGTTACGTCAACCAACATGGCGGCCATGTCTTTGTTCTTTTCATTTTCTTAGGGAAAGATTACACTTGGCCTTTTCAGGTGTTGATATTAATTCTTTTATTTTAACAGAATACTGCTCTTCATTTGGCAGTTATTCATTGTCGAGCACCAATCATATCGTTCCTTCTTTCATTACCTCGTCAAGAAATATTGAAAAATTCATCAAATCAAAACATTCTTGACGCTGCCATGTGCATAGAAAACCCGATAGGAGCCATGACCATAGCAGAACACCCGAGGTACGGTTTCCTTCATTAGAGAGTTTTAGATTGACTTTTTTTTCTCCCCGCAAACGGCAAACGTGACCACGTTTTCATAGTTTTCTTTTATTTTACTTTACCTTTTACAAACCTTCTCATCAAGCGCAAATACTCTTTTGTTTTTCTACTACTTGGACTTTTTTGTGATTTTTTTAAAAGTAATTTAAAAGGATTTTTTACTGGTCAACTGACGTTTCACGTTTGCCGTGAACGTAAATCTAAAACTCTCTAATACTTGCCGTCGTTATCTATCATTGGTGCGTTCGTTCGTTCACTTCTTCTTTCTGTCTCTCTTTTTTTCATTTTCTCCATCATTTCTTTTCTTTTCTTTCTCTTTCTCTTTCTTTTTTCCTACCTACCTTTCCGTTTCTCCAACTTCTGTTTTTTAATTTTTGTTTAAAAGTAATTCTCCTCTCATTCACTTCTCTTCCTTCATTATTTTCTCTTCCATTTTTAATGACTAACAGTTACTGTATCTTTCAGGTGGAGAGAGGTCTTAGAGTCATGTACGACAGGTGTCCATAAGATATTTAAACTCATGGTCACAAAAATGCCTGACGTAGCTGAGGTATGCTAGGTTCTACTAACATATACTCCTTTCCTCCTTTCTTCACTCCATTCCTTGAACCGTCCATCCCTCCATCCTTCATTTACATGCACTAGTATTATCTTACCTTCACATACTTTTTTCTGTAGCGACTTCTGGATAACTGCATTGAAACTGAAGGAGATAAGAGTAATCAAGAATACAAGGTAGATTTGATAATCGGATGATGTTCAATCAAAGGGACCAAATACTTGGGCCTAAAGTTTTCCCATTTCAGACCACATGTTTTTCGCTTGAAAATAGATTCTTTGTTTGAGTTGTATCCATATTCATGTGTCTTCTCATGCACGACCRCCAAAAAATGATACTCTAGACAATGAAATGATACTTGTGGTACATGGTCCGAAATGGGAAAACAGTGCGCAATGTAATGAGGTCTAAGGTCTACAAGAGAAAAGAAAAAGAGGGAGAAGAGAAGAAAGGAAAAAGGCAGGAAGGAAGAAATGAAATACATAAAGACTGATTAATTAATAAAAAGACTGCTGAATTTAAACCACTCTGCCAATAGTCTCCTTCACAGTTCCCTGCGCCATCTTGAAAGGTAGCCGTGCCTTTGCATCGAAGCGAGACGAACGGTGAGCTTGCAATGAAACACCTTGGACAATTATTTACATCATTGCAAGCTCAACGTTTGTCTCACTTCGATGCAAAGACACGGCTACCTTTCAAGATGGCGCAGGAAACTTTAAAGGGGTCTATTGATCAATTTTGTCAATTAATAATCAATTAATTGAATATTTATTTGATTATTTTTGTAATTACTTCTTTCCTTAATTGATGAATTTTTATTCAGATAAGATACGACTTGGGTATCCTGTTACGTAAGCGCGATCCCAACGATAAGTCATCATTAGAGATCCTACAGGTACGTAGCCTGCATTACTTGTCGCTCTGCGGTTATTTTGTTGCGATGGGAAGCGAATAGGGAGGGGGAGGGGGAGGRGAGAGCGGGGAGTTAGCACATATCTTTACAAATACCAAATGGTTCGCCCCTAATATTATAGAGTGTTTTATTCAGTCAGNGGGGAGGGGGAGGGGAGGGGGAGGGCCAAGCTTTACGAATACAATAAATGCAGTAGGACTACATAGCTAAACATGCTGGGTTCCTGATCTTTATTCTTTTCTAGCATATTGCCGATAACCGATGTGAAAAATGTTTAACACACCGAGTCAGTTTTATCGCACTGTGTGAAAAATGGTAAGGACTTTTGTTTCAACTTTGGGCAGATTTTTTGAGATCGACTGCAACAGCCTAGTACTGTGCGGAAGTGACTTTGCGTGACCGTGACAGTGCTTAGCCTGTATTGTGATTGGGTGAAAAGGAACTTTGCTTACTGTAGTACTCGTGAGTCGTGACCAATAAATCTGATTTGATTGAAAAGAATTTTGCGCGCTGAGATTTTGTTCAAAGAATGGCGTGACAGGATTTTGTCATAGGATTCTGATTGGATAAACAGCACTGAATTGTTCTCATGCCGGCGTGACAGAATCCTACATGTAACAGGATTCTGATTGTCTCCAATCAATCGTAATTGTTAAGCAGGCCAAGATTGGCTTAAACCATGTTGCGAGCAAGTCGTGTTGGGAAATCCTTATTGGATGAACATGATTTTTGCGAGCTGTGATTGGTTCAAAGCATGACGTGACGGAATCCTGTCACAAATGGTGTTTGAAGGAACAGGAATTTTGCGCTCTGGGATTGGTTAAAGTGTTGGAGCATTCTGACTGGATGGACAGGAAATAAAGCAGGACTATTGACCGATTACTTTCTGTTTTGCAGGAATTCCTATGGTTGGATAGCGTTTCTTCTCAACATCTGTTGCGTCCTAATCTACCTCATACCAATGACTGTGTTCCACAGTTTTCTCAAAAATAACGACGAAACGTATTGTTCTGACCGCATCAACTACACTGCATCAGGCTCCATCGTATATCTGGTGAGAACAATGGCCTACCTCGACGACACGGCGGCCATCTTGGATCGCAAGGCATTATGGGGCGTCCAGGGGCAAACAAAGCTTTGTTACAGTAATGACGTCAATTGATATTAACACTTCACTACAAGAGAATACAACAAAATATGAATTAAGACGGTACATCAATCACTTTTACCCATAAAAGAAATACAAACACACGAAACTCTATATTTCACGTCATCTTTGTTTTGTTTCGCCGGGTCCCCTGGCAAGATGGCCGCCGTATCGTCGAAGTAGTCCATTAGATAAAGATAAAAATTTGTTTATTCAACGATTATATTCATCCGTGATAAAATACGTACGTGTTCTTCAGACGGGATTCAAGACCGTGTCCTCCTGGTTAATGAATTGCAAAGCACAAAAAGGCATAAATACATAATTAATGTAAGAGTGTCATGAATCGAACTTGAATRAAAAAGCTAAGAGAGAGAGATTTGTGATGAATGGGATAAATGAATGGGCGAAAATGGATAGAAGGGATAAAGGGATGRAGAAACCAATGGATCGACTGGAGCCGGAGATATGAATTGATAGGATGGGATGGAAATGGAATAGATAGATGAATGGGATAAAATTGAAAACATGGATGGATGGATGGATGGATGGAAGGATGAATGGAAGGAAGAAAGGATGCAGTAGAACAAATTCATTCGACTTTTATCTTCTATCTTTAGGATGTCCAGACATGTGTAAGACGTCACATGGTAAGTCAAAAGGAACATAATTTAGATATAAAGTTTATTAAACGAAAATACTTCAAAATATAGTTTATTAGCTATATGCCAAGATATTGTATTAAATCAGGATTAGGGATCCTCAAACCTCAGGTTGAAATGTAAGAAAGTAGAGTTTATTGGATCTTTTCCTTGACTCGAATGAGGATTTTATCACCGTGTTTTCCAAATTTCCTCCCTCCACAAGACCTAAAATGCTAAATCTTAATTTTTACCAATATGACGGGCATATTGAATTCTCTTGTTTTAATTATGGGATGCCGAGGGGACAATTATTCAGGAGTTTATAAGCTGTCAATATGTTTTAAATAACTTTCAGCTTTTCAAAAAGAAACACGTCTAAAAAACTAATTGAATTTGCTGGTAGTTGGATCGATATGGGAAACACAATGTCAACAACAAATTATTTGAAGACAACCCCTCCATCTATGCTTTTCAAATTTTCTACGTGTTTGCCTCCCTATGCATTCCATAAGAGAGAAATAAAAGATGAATTAAGACGGTACATTGATCACCTTCACCCATAAAAGAAAGACAAACACACGAAACTATATATATTTTCCGTCATCTTTGCTTTGTTTTGCCCCGTGTGAGATGAACGCCGTATCGTCGAAGTAGTTGTCTTGCTGTTCCTTATTAGGATACGATAAACCAGCAGTTTTTTATGCCGTTTGCTCCGTATAACATTTAAATCATTATCGTTTGTCGATAGGATATGCAAATTTACCAAATAGTATTGGTGGTGGTTATTGTCGTGCTGCATCTCACAGTCACATTGTTCCGCATGTATAGACAGGTAAGCCGATAGAACACATCTCAAAACATTTTATTAGGCTATAACCCAAAACTCAATATATTTAGCATTGATTGTACATTGAATATGTTAATGAGTGTGATGTTATTATACAAAACGTTCCCTAAATTACTGATTCTGTCGACTCCTTGCAGCACGTTGGTATGCAGTGGGACAAATGCAATTTGAGGGACATGACAATGGGTCTCCAAGTCTCAGGAGATTGAAATCCTTTTGTTTTGTCATTCCACAAATTGAACTGCTTTGATATCACATGCAAGGGTTCTGTCTGTTGCATGCATAACGGTGTCTACAGCTGTAAACATTTGCATTCCTATAGGCCAYTTGCATYATTGATGAGTTGCAAGCATTCCCAAGAGAGTCAAAAGACAAAAACATGGCGGCCATGTTGGTGCCGTTAACAATGGATGCTAATGATATGAGAAATCGTTTTTTAAATGGTACCAACATGGCCAAGATGACGTAACGTGTAATCGAAGAATATTGTCATTTACTACTATTACCAGAATCCTTTGCACACTTTCTTTTGTTCAGTTAATTAGCAGCAACTGTCTTAGAGTGCAAAAAATATACCCGTAAAATAGTTAGGATGAAATAGGAGATTCAGTGAGGAATGACAAGGGCACGGGCATTTACTAGAGTAACATCTCAATACACAAATGAATAGATACGAAAATGCGAACATGTCAAATTATACAAAGGAAAAGCATGTACAACAAAATATTGTTTCAGTTTTTGTAAGTGTGTTTAAAAATATTTTAAAATGTGCGCTCTTGAGTAGCACACGTGCACTAGTTTACCCGTCACGGCTCGCCTATTTTAACTAATTAGACTTAGGCAACTAGATATTAGTAATTAGTTAGCTAGCTATCTATTTCACGGGTATGTTATTTGCACTCTACTTTTTTCATGAGACAATGCCAATCTGAAAAAGAAAGAAAATGCGCAAAGCATTTTGGTAGTGGGAGCAAAATGACGCCATCATGCACACGGCCTGTCGCAGCTTAAATTTTTAATTTAAAAAAATTAACATTTTGGATGTTAAGTGTTTCAATATTGGTTGGTATCAATTATTGTTTAAGCGTATCAACAGCTGTCTGTTAATTTGATTCTAGAAACTTGCCTGGTTAACGTCTCCGACTAACATCATCGAACTGGTGGCGTATCTCGCTGCTTTAATTTCTTTGCTTCCGACCTGTGAGTGTAAATGGGGAATTCAGAAGGAAGCAGCGGCCACTGGATTATTCTTTGGCTGGATTAACTTGATTATGTACTTGCAGAGGTATGACATCCATCCATCC